CCCTCGCTACGGTATCCTCGACCTGTACGGCGTAGTGACGGCTGCCTGCGATTTCGTTCACATCTGCTCTACTTTGTCACTCCAGATTTCTTCCAGCTTCGAGGTTGTTTTTTTTATTGTTTCGTTTCCTTTTCTTTTCTAGTTGACCTTTTTAGCGTTTCGTTTCCCTTTCTTTACATGTGAAGTTTTACATTGTTTCGTTTCTTTTTCTTTTCCATTTTACTTTTTTGGGGGTATTTTCCTGGAGTTCAGAGACGATTTGCATTGTGGGATTAACGAAACAAGGTCATTGGTCAAAGATTACGGTCGGGCATGAACGTTTTGTTTGTTGTCACAGATTTTTTATTTATTACACACACTCATAATAATAATTTATAGACTCGAGTGGCTCATTCATAAAATCTTTTTTTTTTAAATTTATGTGAGCGAAAAAAAGCGATGATTTTGCTTTTGTTAATGGAAATATAATCTAGACTTTCTATTTTCTCACGAGCTTACGAAGGGGAGATACAGATATGAAGGTGTTGATGAGATAGGGGCTTTTTAATTATAGTGAATAATCGTGAAAGGATGGACAAGCTGAGAGATAATCATGATGTGTGTGTGGGGGTGGGGGGAGATTGACACACAAGCAGAGTGACCTGTTCCTTAAATTAAATAATGTGTTATGAAAGCTCTGTGATTGTGGATAGCAAGATGAAAAAGAGACTCGAAAGAGATTGGCAGGATAATGCAAAGATGAAACAAACTGTGCAGTCAGAGATGAGATCAGACAAATGCTGCATATAGGCTGACAGCTGAAAGACATAACAATCATCAATGGTGGGGGAACATACAGAATGACAGGCGTATCGCAAACAAGCAAAGAGAAAGAAAGAAAGACAGACAGAAGAGAGAGCACGAAAGAAAGAAAGAAAGGAAAGAAAGAAAGAAAGAAAGAAAGAAAAGAAAAGAGAGAAAGAAAGAAGGAAAAATAGAAAGAAAGAAAAGCACACGGAAAGAGAAAAGAGAAATGAAGGAACATAGAAAAGATACCAACTCAGGGAGGAAGAGCAAAAGCCGAAGAAACACTTTTATGCAGAACCAATACAGGAATGTAGATTTCATGAAGATGTTCTGTCTAACACATTGCGATTGCGCTCACATCTACTGCAGAGGCAAGAAATCTCGCTAAAAGAGACAGACGGGATGAATATGAAATAACATTTCAATATAAATAATAATATCGTTTTTGTTTGTTTACTTTTGGGGATTGGGTTGTTTTTGTATGTGTATGTGTGTTGTTGTTCTTTTTTTTTGGGGGGGGGGGGATGACCTCTGAAATTTATTTGACGTACGTTAAGCGTCCCAGATTGTGCCTTCACTTTCTTGCTTTCTTGCTCTCTCATATCTCTCTTTCGTTCTTTTTTTTCTTTTTTTTTCTTTCTTTTTCTTCCTTTCGTTCTTTCATGATTTCTTCCGTTACTTCATTCTCACGTTATTTCGCTTTCTCCATGTTTTCATTCACCTGTCACCCTCTATATTTTTCATATTATTTATTTCGCCACTTCCCGTCTTTCTATCTTTTTTCCCCTTCTTTCTTTCCGTTTTCTTCTTTCTTCTCAAGAAGAAGACGTAAAAGAACGATGACCCCATAAATGACCTCTCTGTAGAATTGGAGGAAAAAAAATAATGTCTGTAGAAATTCTCAGCACAGAATGTAAAACTTAGTCCCTCACAAACACCGACGTATTATGATACTTGATATAGCTGAGAGATAAACCGGTTTTAGTTAAAGCTTCATGCAAATTAGCAAAACGTATATGCTCAGAACGGCAAGCTGGTCCTTGCTTCAGGGAAATCTTGTGTTTTCTTGTCTTCTTTTTTGTACAGTTTTGAATATCTGTGTGTCTGTGTGACTGTGTATTTGTGTGTCTGTGTGTCTGTGTATTTGTGTGTGTGTGTGTGTGTGTGTGTGTGTGTCTGTA